AAAGGGAGAGAGGGAGAGTGGGAGAGTAGAGAGAGAAAAGGGTTTCTAGCACTTGATTGGTCCTTGGACTAAATCTGACTCCTTTTCAAATTGAATATTTTATCAAATCATTTTAAACATGCATGTGTCACTATTACTTGGTACTTTGCATGATACACATTTACGAGACACTTCCTAATTTAGTCATGCAAATTCTTCAAACAAGTTGATGCATGCAAACCTTCTTAAAGCATCTAAATAAATCTCCACCTTGATCAAACTTAATCAAAATCATCTATAATTTCCACTGTTGATCTTGTCATCTCTAATATGAACCATTGATCATTGTAAGACTTGATCCACATCATTGGTCAAACCTAAATACATTATACACCATCGATCAACTTTAGACCTAAGCTAGACCCTTGATTCAAGCCTTGTCTATAATAGTCAAATATCTTCCTAATCATTTGTACTAACTAAATTGACTTAATTAAGCCAATTTTTAAGTCAATTTCTACTTATAAAATTCGACACAATTTCAAGGTATTTCAATATAAATATTTGATTGAAAATGTCATACATCGTAATGTGCTAAATCCTCTCGATGATTTCTTACACTAAAGAACTAGCATTGGAAAATTTCACTGAGCTAGTTAATTTCCAAATGAATCATCAAGGAGTCTAATACGACCTCCAATTCATAAATTAATTTAAGCAATAACCATGTAGGAAAAATTCTACACCTAACGTCCAGAATTTTAGTTAGGTTTGTATAATTTAAAATTCTCGTTTCTTATTATTTTCTTCTTTATTGGACCCTTGATTTAGATCCTTGAAGAAAGTCATTAAGACATTTTAAGTCATCAAATCATACTAATTCATAACTTCAAACAGAACTTGATAAGTTAACCATAATGATAATTATTTAATAAAAACTAGATAACCATCTCAATACATGTAACATCTTATTAGTACACCGCGTGAGATCTCACTGATATGGTAGTTTACGCCCTATTATTGTTAGTTTCTGAATCGAATTCGGATGCGGAAGCGTGATAGTAGCGGATCGTGTATAACAAAAATTTTCATAAAACTTTTGAGATACTGTATAGATTACATTAATTTATGCACGAATAAATTAATCAAATTAATTTATTTAATCAGAACTCGAATGAGAATTATACCTAGCAGCCGATTAGGATGATAACTTGAGTTATTTGACCTCGAACGTTCCTTGCTCCAAAGCTAGTTTAGAAACTAATGTCTTCCTCGTCAATTCTTAGAATCCACGAGGACGTGTGTGTGGGCACACCTGAGACAAAATATGATTAGCAATAAAACACTCAAATTTTCCACGAATACCAACGCATGAATGACGTGGAATTTTTAGAGAAAAATTTTTCCTTCCACACTCTTAGAGAATTCGGCCACTATGAAAAATATAGCAAAAAATTGTGTCTCTCAATTTTCTATAATTCTCTTATTTTATAGAGTAGAAGTTAAACTCCTAGAAGGAATCCAATCTTTATCTCCAAGATAAACTTTGTTAATTATCTCCTATTTGAATTTGGAACAAAATCTCTCACTCCTTATCCTCTTGATATGGCCGGCCAAGATAGGGATCATTATCCCTATGGTAGGTGCTAAATACAGATAGGGAAGGAAGAGAAAATCATCCTATATCCTACAGTCCAATTTTGACTCAAATTCAAATTTTAATTTAAGTCAAACTTAAATTAATTTGAATTCTAAATTGAACAACTTATCAAATAAGTTTAAATGAATAAATCTAGATGTGTTCACACTGTGTGTTCACACTATGTGTTCACACTGTGTCTTGCGTTCACACTATGTGAACACCTTCACATGAGTGATCCAAAGTTCAAATTCAAATTTAAATAATCACATTATTTAATTTATAATTAATTATCCTTGAGTGTTTTATTTTTAGAATTTCGTAATTTTAAAATTCTCATTTTGCCCTTTGTGGCTTGTAGAATTACTAGGACGATGCGGGGACTAATGAACCTATAATTCTGAGCTCCAATAAAATTAATAATTAATTAAACACTTTAATTAATTAATTAATTCTATTAATTCCAATAGTTACTCCACTATAAACTTGGAATTGCACTCTCGAAATTATAAGCATAAATTACTTCTAAATTGTGAAGTGTCCATTTGATATAGTCACTGCATATAGATCAATCCTCCATAAATAATTCATAATTAGAGCTAGGTAAAAGTCGTTAACCTCTCTAATTATATCTTCATCCTTGAGTACTATTGATTCTCTAATGGACAGGGATTCATAAAACACATTCATGAACCAGAGCGCTCTAACTAATCCAAGTACCGAATCAAGACTCAAGAGAATTATTTATCTGCTTTTTTCTCAAGAAGGAATGGATTTCATCTTGTATAATAACATTCCGGGTTACCTACTTAATCATGTCTCCAAAATATAAGGAATAGGATTAAGGATCTCAGAATCCGTACCGAGTAAATCAAAAGACACAAATCCATAAATAGGAGTCTGCTAAGAACTTAGGATTAAGATCATTCTATATATGACCATCGGTAGACTCAATTAGAATTTCTATACTTAAAGGAAATTATCAGAAATTCATATTTTGTCTGTGTCCCTGTTCCACATAATCTCATTATGAGAAATACACTCATTCAATATCTCGTCATATTAACAGTGCAGATAACACTGTTCTATTCTATATGGGAATGACATGTATTAGTAATGTTTTAATTAAAGATTCTAAACTTTAATTAAATTCATTATGAACATCATTTTTTATTATTATCCTTAAACATTATCTTCTCGCATATAACGCTTATATACAATGTTTAAGGTTACATAAATAATCATGAAATTTTCATTTGATGTTCATAAAATATTCATAAATATATGCACATAAAATAATGAATAAACTATTTTATTAAATAAATAATAAATATTTTATTACATCTCATGCTTTTAGAACATCATTCTTAAGGTAATAAACATACATTTCACAAGAAAAATCAGTTAAATTTTACATTTAAATTTCTACTTTAGAATTTTCTCAGGTTTTCCTCTCTCTCCTCGTCTTCTTCTTCTCTTTTTTTTCCAACTCCTACAAAAAAAAGTCGGCTTCTATTTCTCTTATAAAATCACATAAAATACAGAACCAAGTCTTGAAAACTTTGTTTAAAGGTCGTTCTCTCTCAAGATTTCATAGAGCTTGGTAAAGCTTTGAATATCAAACTTCAACTTCAGCCAAAACTAACAAATTCAGATCAAGCAAATTGTCACTGCTTGGCGGACTATGGTTAGAGTCGAACTGATTTAGTGATTAAACGGATGTTGATTCTCTAAGAGAAGGACTAGGTGGATTATTTTACCGATATGGTAGGACATGATCAAAACCTCTCTTTGATAGCCGGTTTGTTTTTAAGAATTTTTGGGTAAATTAATATTTAAAGCAAATGATTTTGTAAATGAATTGAGATAAATCATGGATTTTATGAGCTGACATCTTGAAAAATGATTGAGGTTTTGGAAAATGAGTTTTAAGAGTTGAATATACTAGTTATGGATATTTTGAATACATTTGTATTTTTCTTACTTTTGAAAATGATTTAAGATATTTTAAAGTTTAAATCTGGATAGGCCAGTTTGCACACACGGTGCGAAGAGTGCACTTTTTCAATCAGGAAAAATCGCCGCGGTATTTACTAGTGATGACCCAAAAATATTATACGTTAATGTAAGATATAGTAGGGACACAGACTACATTGTTACTATTATTTAATTTACTCATTTTTATTTTTGCACGTTTGTTAATTCTACATTGTTGAATATATATTTATTAGTTTATTTATTTTAAATTGTTGTTTAAAAATTAGTTTTGAACAATGTGGTTTTTAAGAATTGTAGCTTTTAAAGATATATATCCTGAGTCTTTCACTCATGTTCTATTATTTTAAATATTTATCCCTCCGAGGTTGTGTGGACTACATGAGATAGTGATACTGCTTAGTGTTGTAAAACGGTGTTAGTTGCTCATTGAAATTTCTATAATTTGGCTTGGGGTATAAGTTATGAAATTTCAGTATTTCTATTCTGTTGTATGTAAACTGTATTGTATGACTTATCCTGATGATGTATTATTTTTTAGAAAAGTTTCGTATTTTTTCTTTTTAAATATTTATGGACTTTAAATCCTTGCGAGGCAGTGATTTTATTATTATTGTCGAGTCATTTTCATTTTTATGGGTTTAGGTGTTTAAAATCCGGATTTATTTTTCAGAAATAGTATAAAATATGTCAATATGAAAAGTTTAAGGAAGTATATAAGCTAATTTTTAGTTGTAGAAATTAATAGGCCATAACTTGTCAAGTTATGGTTCATAACCAGATAAATTATGGACTAATTTGTCAAGTTATGATTCATAGTTAGACAAGTTATGGATAAAAATTGTGATTTATGGACAATAACTTGTCAAGTTATGGTTTATAACCAGACAAGTTATAGACAAAAATAGTAATTTGACCTATTTATTAACTTATATAAACTATTAACTTATTAATTTTAATTCATCTCAAGTTTTGACTTATTTCTCTCCTTCTCCCTTTATTTTTCGTCCATTTTCAGGACGCGACATTTATACCCCAACTCTTCCCCAATTTCGGATTTCAGTCTCAATCTTGAAACATGCAAAGAAATTTGAAAACCAAGAACCAAATAAGGAGCTTTTATGCCTCATATCAGATCATAAGATAAATCTTATCAAAATACAAAAAAGAGATTTTGATGTTGTTAATCCCTGAACAATTGTGACGATTGGCCCCCTAGTGTCTTTTTTTTTTTTTTTTTCCTTTTACCAACATAACACTGAAAAGTATCTTTAATACCAGAAGAACTGATTCACAGTCAAACAACTTCCTGTAGATAAAAAGAAATATATTATTTTTCAAAAAGAAAAAGATAAATAAAAGGAGAAATTGATGCACCAATTAGACGTTGAACTAACAGCAGTTTAAATTCAGTTAGGGAAATGCGATTCCCTTAGACATGTATAATTAGAAGTGATAAAAATAAAGGAGCATTAATCCTCATCTACTACAAGATTCTATTGACAAGAAAATGCACACCATTGGGAGCTCCAAAGCCCATTGTACAGTCTATGCTAAGCACCTACAGGATGCATTTTGTTCCTTGTATAACCAATTCCGAAAAAACTATCCTATAGTTTCTCCAGTGTGTATCGAGATTTTTTGCCCAACAGAAAAGGAGCTCCTCTCCAGCAAAGGGAATAAATAAAAGAGGCCTTTTTTGCGCTACAACTATAAATTGCCGAGAACTGCTTTTCTCAGGGTTACATCAAGACCATCAATGAGAGTCTACATATTAAGAGGTACTTCTTTGCCTCATCCATTTTGTAGCCGACCACTTTTCCCCCGACAGCACTTCGCACCCACCATGTATGCTATTCGGATCCGATTGTCCATCTAGGCCCTGAATATACCAAGAGAAAAAGAAGAAAGAAAAGGAAAACATACACGTGATGTCAGAATAATTGCTTCTACACCTAAAGCAAAAAAAAAAATAGAACCAGCAGCAGTACATTTGCGAGCCAAATCAACAAATTCTTTTATTGTCACAATGCAGTAGTTATTAAGAGTTGATATTTGATAACGAAACAGATGCGTTTTTCACGAGCAAATTACTAAACCTTTCACAATCCTTATCCGGTAGAACCGGGTGTGTTAAGAGGGAACCCCGTCCCTGTCAGGGAAGATGCCAACCATCTCTCCTTTCTAAGAACACCGTGTTGGTTTACAATCAAGTAATTAACCCCTGAACAAGGTTGAAAATATTTTCATAACTGAATCTATTGATTGTGTTTTCTAAACTGCTTTTTCCTAGAAGCTTGTGGTCGGGAGTTTCTTAAGAGTTTTGACTGAGTTGAGTGGCTGCTTTAAAATGTGCAAATTTGTTTCTCCGTATTATCTGTTTGGTTTCAAAACGAAGGATAAAATATTTGAATGTTAACGTCTTGGGTTTGTGTTTGGTAATATGGTTAGAATGGAATAAGAGGATCTCTGAAGACATGGAAGGAAATGTCGTATGACATGAAGTTTCTGGTTGCAGTACGGATGCATGAATATAAAGTCTTCAGTCATTTTCAGTCATTGTTGATGTAACTGACTCAATTTTGCTTTTTGTTCTCTCAGATTCTCTATTTTCTCCCTTTCTTAATTTGGGATGGACATTCTGACCTCCTTGCCTTGTATTCATGCTTCTTTTTGTCTTGATAAAGATATGTTTTTTTTCCCAAAAAAAAAAAAAAAAAAAAAAAAAAAAAAGAAAAAGGAAATTAGGGGAACGAGTGAAACAGAGTTCCTTGTTTCACTATCATCAACCTAGAGCACAGTGTTGACTACAAGATTCGGTAAAGATACAAACCAAGCTCCAGAAAAGTATTGCGTCTCCTTTAACTGGTTTTACAGATAAACCTTTGACCATTTTTCCACCGCAGCTACATTCACCTGTGCCAGCCTGAAATTTGATTGCAAGCAAAAACAAAGCACGCAATGAAAATTGTAGTAAGTTCTTGTGTATGTGCGGTGTAGAAAGACAATCAACATTTTAGAGAATTGAAAATGAAAATACCAAGGTAAAACAACCCTAGCGCAAGAGAAAAAGCACCGTACCAAAGAGCAAATAACGACAAATGTTCCATATAAATAATAAAAGGTTAATAAAAAAAAAAAAAAAGGGATTCCGTGTTAACCATTCTACGAAAATAAATTCCCACATTATGATCATGCAATCAAATGCTTCCAGCAGCAATTCCCATTCATACTATCTAGTGCTACGACACACTTATCTCCTAACTTTCAATTATCATTTGCATCTCCCATTTTAAACTTGCATTAGGAATTGAATTAATACTATCCAACAAAAAGACATTTAACATCAGTTTATTTGACTAACACATAATTTTAAAGGTACTTTGCAATAGTGCCAACTACATATAAGAAAGATTTGTATTTGAGTTTTACACGTCCTCATAATCTTACTAGAGCCAACAATATACCCCAAATCTTGGGGATTAAAACAGTTGCTTCAGTCAAACAGTAGCAGCGTATTAACAAAAAATGTTTAGCAACAATCGTGACAATAACACTTGCATAAGAAGGATTATATTACCATTGGGAAATATGTCTCTCCACCCTCAACATTGTCACTTAAATACATAAGCATCGTTGCTACTCTCTGACCACCACGCTTCAAGTTAAACTGCAAAAAGAAAAGAAGAGCGTAACTCCTTCACATCACACGAGCAAATGATCTAGAGAAACAACTCTGATGAAGTACTATTTGTAAAGGGATGGTGAAACTTACAGTATCAGAAAAGTAGTCGTGATGAGGTTTGTAAAACTGACTCTTTTCATACCTGTACTGCTGCAGATGTTAGCCTTGATACTTAAAAGATACTAATCTTTCTTTTCATAAACTTTAATGTGCTTGCTGATAAACTACATGCCCACCTTAAGACTTGAACCAGCTCTCCATTTTCTACCGGTATTTGAGAATAGACAGAAATACGCTTTTCAATAGCCTGTATGGCATGATGGTGCAGAAAGAGGGAAAAGTTAGAAGAGATTATGTAAGATCAAAAAATGAAAAAGGGAGGGAAAAAAAAAAGACAAACCAATGTAACTCAAAGTCCTTAAGAGTGGAAATCATATACTTAGATCATTAGCAGTATCAAAGGAAAATCTGGAAGACAAATATAACGCGATAAAACATTCTATTCCTCTCTCTTCCTCTATTATGCAAACAGCTTCTCCATTGTAATAATCACACAATCAAGAAAGAAAGAATCAAACAGACGTTACAGCAGAGAACCTATAAGAAAAAGATATCCTAAAGCAGCTAAAAAGGCATAAAGGATATGTAAAACAATGTTTGTGACACAGAAGAAATGAACACTAACCTGTACCATTGGATACTTTCTCTCTTCATGGCTCAAAAACATTCCAGAGCTTGTCCTGACATTACTCTTTATTCCCTGAAAATGGAAACAGTGATGTGAAAAAGCAGGTAACTGCAATTGAAAAACGATATTGTTTTGTATGAATATCTCTGAACCTAAGTTGACTTAGCCAGAAACGTTAAATTCCAATGTAATTAACAATGAAAAATTACAAAGTAGACGTACTTCTCATAGTTACTGGCACAACCTTTATTTGCTAAGATTTTTCACTAAAGTTAAACTCAAATTACAATCCTCCACTCAGCCTTTTCATGAGCAGATGTATAGGTTCATCCAAAAAGGAAGGGTTTCTATTCTCCTACCACAACCAAAAGCTCTGGTACTTCATACATTTTGCACAACTCGTCCATTTCTCCAGAGCCTGGAAATTTTCCTACTAAATTTCAACTCCACATTCTTCCAACCTGATTTACTCTACAGCAACTCAAAAGCTTCACAAATGTCATTATGACTTATAGATTCACACTCACCATCAGGTACTGTGCTATACACTGATGGAGCTGCGATTCTTCTTCGACACTAGAAGAAAAAATCTCTTTCCCAAAGTTGCAGGTGTTCATCATCTGGATACTAAACATTTGAGCTTTCAGACACGGCTTACAGTAAGTCAAGGAGAATCCAAGTCTTTGTCCTTGCCTCTTCTTTCCGTTTTGGCATATTCATATGATAAATAGCCTTGCTTATAATAAATATAGCCCTGAACCTGCACAGCTTGATGCCTTTGTCACTTTTTCTGGATAAAGAAATTAGAACCACTATTCCATTGCTTAATCAACTGGTGAAACTCTCCTTTTGGCTTTAGAAACTTTTTGCAGCCTTAGTTGCATGGCCATGTCCTTTTGATAAAAAAACTTGAACTCCTAACATCATCATCTTTGTCAATGCTGGTATAAGCACTATTCTGCCTAAGTTGAGGAAAATAGTTTACAAGTTCCAATGGATCTACCAACTCGACTAATCTGACAGCATATGCTCCAATCCCTGGCTGAGAAGTTCCCAAAAAGCTTGGTCTCAGAAATACTAGCATATAGTCACCCTATTCACTTCCATTTTCACATCTTTAAACCCAATGGAATGCATTATAACATGGAATCCTAGACAAATAAATCCCTTCTTGAGCCAAGGACATCTCAAGCTCTCTTAAGTATCGTCAAATTTTTTTAAAGACACAATTATCAAAAATCTTAATTGGTCTATTGTAATTTGAGTTTTGATGTTTTAACTTCATCCACCAAACCGTCCTGATTCAATGTTCATCCAAACCCACTCGTGTATGGTTTAAAGGAACAGTTTGATTAGAATTCATCATTTGCAATAATTGTTGTCATAAACACCAATGAGGTGAAATGTTACTGCTAATTCTACCCAAAAAAAAAAAAAAAAAAAAAAAAAAAAAAAAGACAGAGAGAGAGAGAGATGTAATTATTAATTACACAACAAGAAGGCAAAAACAAAGAAACAAAGTTGTTATCTACATAAAAGCACAATATATAGATTCATGAAATGATCCAACTCCCAATATTTGTCATTCTTATAAGCCAATGAGATTGCGAAGTAAAAGGAGAAAGAAATATTTCATAGAAAGAAAAAGAAATGACCAAAGATAAGGAAGCTGCCGAAGAACAGGAAAACTCAAAAATTGTTATGTCACCTTTCCTGTTTTTGCGTCTACCACTGTAGAAATTTCAAGTCGGGGAAAGGCTAAAGCTCTAAGGTAATCACACTCCTGTAAAGATCATAAACTTTTCTTCAAGACCATATAATTGAGCTTCGTTTTAGTATATTCCACTACTCATAAGCAAAGTATCTTTTTATAGTTACACTTTATATAGAGAATTGATAAGCAATGACGTTGCCCAACACCGACAGGAAAATTTCAGTAGCTTGAGGTTAATGATATTGATGAAGCTATAACTAAAACAACAGAAGATAATTTAGCAAGCACAACGACTGGCAAATGTCTTCTTTTTTTTTTTCTTTTCCATACAGCAAATACAAATGCGTAATCACATATATATCTACAAAAATACGTGTAGATAAGTACTTACTTTTGCTACGCTAAACTTTTCTCTTTCCCTTCTCTCTTTTGTTCTCTAAACTCAACAAGTTACTCCTTACTAAAACTCTCACGTAGTTTTGACCAAATTACCAAAAAAATTTCTTCAAAAGATAGAAGCAAAAAATTGTTAGGAATTCATTTAAATTGATTCAATACCCTTCCTTCTGAAGCCTTGAGGCTAAGCTCTTCATTCAAATACATTGTAAAGGACATCCAACATGGAATGTCCAAATATGCAGTTAATATTCCGATTTATCAAGGAATTTAACGTGATTCCATGCTCCAATTTAGAATAGACCAAATTATCTTTTATTTCTTCGCATGCAGTACTCGCTTACTTTCTGGACCATTACCTTTTCTCTTCTAAATATTTCACTATAAATAAGCAATTTCATATCCAGAGACTTAAAGCTCATAAAACATAAAACATAATTGAGTACACCTAACAACAGAAAAGGTAGATGATACTATATTAGAAGTGCATACCTCCATGCTTAAAAAATTATGAAGTACAATGATCCGAGGTGACCAGCTGATTATTTCAGGTTTAACCTACATAAAATAATAATAAACAACTTTGGATTAAAGCTTTAAGTATAAGACATGTTAAGAAGTCCCTGAATCCCCGAACCCACTTGTGCAAGAAAAAGAAATACAAGACTCATTTCCCAAAAGAGCAATTACGTTGCAAATAAAAACTAACCCGGTAAAATTATGTAACAAAAAATAAATTACAACAATTTAACACTTGTTGAGGAAAAAACTAACCCATAGGCACATGCTAGAGAATGGGAAAGGGGACAGGTAAGATACCAAAAGGTAACTGAATAAGAGAGAAAAGGAAGGAGAAAGGAGACAAAAGAACTAAGAGGGTAACACTTAGAGACAGACAAGGGTATGTGGGTTCATCTCTCCAAAGGTTCGATTTGATAGTTCTTTATGAAAGTTTGAACTGAAAAGGAATACCACAAAACCTATTGCTCAAAGGCACTGTGAAAATTCAATCATAGATCGAGGAGGAACATTACCTTTTTTTTGTTTTGTTTCACGAAACAATAATTTGATTAAATTATGAGAGCCGAAATACAAAAAGCACTCAAGGACGAGGTATCCTCAGTTGGTCATACAAGGAATATATAGTACAAAAACAGAAAACTGGAAAATGTAAAAACACCAAGAAATTAAAAAAAAAAAAAAAAAGAGAGAATCTTGGAGGATAAGTTTCGCTATTGGTCGGATCTATTAACTTGATCTATTAAGTTTTGGACAGTCAGATTTATTAGATAGACCAACTCATCTCTCTATTATCAACAGATCTCGATTATCAATCCACTTTAAAAATTGTATACTATTGACCACTTAAGACTCTAGGCCATATGATAGCTACCAATAAACTTATGATGATTGCATAAAAGTGCTGTCTTACAAGTTACAAATAACACCAAACTAATTGTCTTCTTCATTTTCAATTTTTGATTTCCTGAAATTCATAGCATTTCTTTACTTCATGGATAGGATTATTTGAAAAAAAACAAAAACAAAAAAATTAACTTAGCATAAAAATTCAATATACTATAGCAAGCATACATATCCAAGGCGTAAAATTGCTGCTTCTTTGTCATCATTCCAATGATGAATACCTGAAAAATAAATATGAAGGAAACCAAATCAAATAAAGGAGAATACATAAACCAAGACAATTTATTTGGTACCATACCAACCTCCAGGCAACTGAAGATAGCCATCAAGTTGACGTCTACGCACTCTTCCAAAAGTTGGAAACTCGGAACCTGTGAAGGATTGAATTAATGAATATTTCAGTGCATAGACAAGAGGTAAAAAATAAAAACAACAAAGATAACATATATTGGCATGCGTAAATAGAAATATATTACATATACGTGTGTGTGTGTGTGTGTGTGTAACCTAAATATTCGATTAAGGCAGTTGCAGTTTCTAACTACGTCTCCAATTTTTGTGTCCGACTTACCAAAGAAAACCTATAGATGCAACAAAATCAACATTCAATAACTCGGAGACTTGAGTTTCAAATGTTTATAGGTTTTCACATGAAACTTATGAAAGAAACATAACGAGAATTTCAACGTAAACAGACAAAAATGGGAAACAAAAGACACAACTGGAAAAAAAAATGTTTGTGCGACCAGTTCATGAAAAGATTATCTTTAGAACCAAAAACATGAAGAGGGAAAGGGAAATTTACAAAGAAAACATGATAAAAGTAAAAGATACATACAAAAATTTGATTGAATTCAAAAAGTAGACCACACAACACATATGCATGCGTAGACACAAAAAGAGGAATCTAGATAATTATGCGATCCAAAAATTTGACTACAATATCTAAATCCTAAACCAAGTCAACAAATGATGTCTAAAAGATGATACTAAAATCAAGTACGAGCTAAACCACAGAGAATCCATTTCAAATAGGAAATTTAACCATCAAAAGATACCATATGAATCTTCGAGTCTTCGTATAAATGCCAACTGAAACAAAGCACCTGCAATTCCCAAGGGAAAAAAATCAATGCATATAGATAAAAAACTGTTTAAGTTCCCCTTGAACATAGATGTTTCCCCCCCTTTTTGCTGGGTTAAGAGAGGATAGAAAATGGATGGAAGTTCCAAGCAGAATCCCGACATTACTATATAAATAGCTTTTGATTTCCATATTTCAAAGGTACAAGCAACTTAATAGCCCAGCATCACAATCATTTAACTAGTCAATTTTGACCTCGACAGAAATTCCAAATATTAGAATTTGGGCTGCACTTTAGAAGACATCAGTAATTATCACAAGAGGACAGGTGAAGGGAAATTTAGCATAACAGAAACAAATTGAAAAAAACTCTTATTCGAAAACCAAAAATTTGCTCTAACTTCAGTATGTAGTCAGCAACTGGAGTATCTTTCTTTCTTTTACACATAGCTATCAGAATTTGCTGGCCCAATTGCTTACGCATTTCAAACCTAACCAAGCACAAAGTAAGTCCACATATTTTGTTTAGTTGGGACAATAAATCACCTTAAAGAAAAAGCATTCTCATCACTAATTTCTTCTTATAACATGGTCATAGTGAGGTCAAACTGCAATAAAAATACTCGATTGAGAAAACAAACGTTAAGACTAAAAAGTTCCCAATTTACAGACTAGTAAGTCTAATTATAGATGGAAAACATTGCGGGAGGCATATAAGTTCACAATTTAGAGCAATAAAGATTTTCTTTTCAACACAATAAAGTTAGAAATTTGTTCTCTTGGTTGCAAGGAAAGCTAATTAATTCAGGTTTTAGATTCTTGGAAGTAAATCAAATCAATAGGAAAAAAAATAAAAATAAAATCTATACTATTAAGAACAGAGAAATTACTAACTGAAAGAAGTTACATTCATTAATAAAAGAACATACGAAGAACCGTAATCATTCCAATCATTCTCCAGAAATCAAATATAGTGATTTACCAGAAATACTACAAAAAACCAAGAAATCAACCTAGCACACAAATGCAATAAAAACCGATACAATCAATTTGACACTAAACATTCACATGATTAAATATTGTCGGTTGCCTAGTAGCAAATTGCTCTTACGCTTCGCTACTAAGAAAAGTGAACTGAGCTTGACGAATCAATCGCCGGAAAATTTTTTCAGTTTCTACTCCGACGACAGTTCAGAAGTCAAAACAGCTAGATTTCAGCTTCCGTAAACATTCCCGAGAAAATGCAGGAAAAACAGAGAAAGAAAAACTTTCAGTTCACTGATTTTTGCACCAGAAAAGATTCTTAGATTTTACGTTCCAGTACAAAATCAAACAAAGCGCGAAGTAATTCAGAGAATTGGGACGATTGACCGCACCTATTATCATGCCAATAGTGACGAATGTTAGAAGTCCAAACACGATTCTCATCGAAGCAACCATGGCGTCGCTCGAAGAAAAGGAAGATCTAGAGAGAGAGAGAGAGAGACTGATGGCAGTTTCTCTACGGAAGAGGAAAAAGGAAGAGAATTTTACGTTTGGAAATCCGTGAAGAAACCACTCTGTCTTAAATAACACCCGCCCATGGCTTCGTTTTATTTCTTTCCGCTTCTCCTTTTTGCTTTTTCCTTCCTTGGATTTCTTTTTCTTTTCTTTTCTTTTTTTTATCTCCATTTTCCCTTCGAATTTTCAATTGACAAAACCGTCCATTTTGTTTTCATCAAAGAGACAAAAAAATGTGACTGAAAGTTAAATTTGATTAAGATCACATTCAAGTCTGTTCATTGATTTAAGTTTTTAATTTAAGTTGATATGTGATTATGTGAGAATTTTAGGATCTATTTAGTTTGTTGATTAGTATTTTTAATTTGAGTTGAGATATAACTTTATGTGAGAAGTTTTTATTGTAGCAAAAAAAATTAGATGTGACTGTTTCTGAGAGCCTTTTACTGTAACAAAACTCGAATTCTAAACTCAAATTGGTAAAATAAACGGGATTTTAAATTGTAAAAAAAGTTTAATGTGACTTTTTATCAGAACTTTCCTGTTTAGTTCGCCGATTCAAGTTTTTAATTCGAGTTGATATGTGACTTTATGTGAGAGTTTTTTACTATAACAAAAAAGTTAGATGTAATTGTTTCTGAGATCTTTTTACTGTAGCAAAACTCAAATTTTTAACTCGAATCGGTGAAATAAATGGGGTCTAAGTATAATAAAATTAGAATTAAAAATTTAAATCAGTAAAATTAACGAGGTTTATGGACAATTTAAAATCCCAGCAAAAAATCTGACGGTCTGAAATTAGTCATATTTTTCATAAAATTATCTCTCTTTTTTGTTTGTTTGTTGGGTCTCTCTCAAGTCTCGACTTTTCTCTTGCCAGGATCTTTTTCTATTTTGTCCTTTGTTTTTCATTTTTTCCTTTTTTGTTTCTTATATTTTACTTCAAAAAAAAAAAAAAAGGAAAAAAAAGGTTGACTTGCGGGGGAGTATTGAGTACTGATGGTCCACCACCGTATTCGGAATTCCTTGGATGGTCCAATTAAGGGTTTTTTTTTTTTTTTTTTTTTTTTTTTTTTTTGCCCTTACTAGATTGGAGAAATATTTGTCAGTGTTTATTTAGTGGATTAGAAATCTCGTAAAAATAATAGTTATGATATCGACCAATATCAGAAAACTTTGTACTTATCTAAAAAACGAGATGAATAATCAACCTTTTATACAAGATGAATTCTTGATCACCAAAACAAAAGAAGGAAAATGTTTTAAGAACTTGTTCGTTTACTCTCAAACTTAAAAAAAAAAAAAAAGTTTAAATTGAAGTTATAACTTTATTTAAGTTCATATTCTTTTATAAAATTTTAGTTTGAACTTAAGTTTTAATTTGAATTTTAACTTGAGTTTGGGGTTAAAATCTGAGTTCAAGTTTCTGTTTTAACTCAAGTTCCTAAACTCAAATTTAAGTGAATGAACAGTATTTTTTTATTCTTAAAAACGCTATAACTTTTTCGTTTTCATTTCGATTGAGATTATTCTTTTTTTTATGCGTTCACAACGAAAAGATGAATAAAACCACATTCATATACCCTATTAAAATTTTCTATCATCATTAAGTTTTTATTAAAATATTATCTAAATACAAATTTAAGTTTTGACTCATCTAAACACAAACTTAAAAAGATTCTCATATCAAATCATAACTCAAATGTTCACGACTAAACACAAACTTAAGTTACAACTTCAACTCAAGTTATAACTCAAATTCAACTCAAGATCTATACTCAAATTATCGTAACTCAAAAACGCAACTGAACAAGCCCAAGAAAAAATTCCCGAGTAAGTTGTGAATTTAAGACTCTCCTCTATGACTAATAAAGTTTTTCGTATCCAAGAGTGCCATATGTTCATTAATCTAAATCTTGTACATGTTTGGAGAGAAAAGGTTTAGTGAGAGTGGATATGAGAGTTTAATAAGAGTTTGGATTTTGGGTTAGTGGCCTGACTTGTTGTCAGGCTACTGGTCTCTAAATTTTGACAAGAAAATTGTCGTGGCCACCAGAGACGGGTCTGTGTCGACAAAAGTGTGGGTATCTACTAGATCTTTGTTGTAAATCAACGATGCATTCACCGCTGAATCTTGTTGAAACATGGGAACTAGATCCTGGGAGAGAGTCGAATAAGGTGCTTCGGCGCGTATGTCCATCGCCACCAGCCGATGGGAGTGCATGTGCCCCACACACCGCCGAGTTTTAAGTGGTTCTGGTGTTGTTTTGAGAGGTGTTGAAGATTCAATCGCAAGTGCACGATAAACAAGTAATAAAAAGTGAGTTAAAGATGTTGTTCTCACGAGAATATCATATTTATTAAGTACTAAAAATGGATAATTTTAACTTTATTTGAGTAGCCGAAAAGATGAATTTTGATTAATTTTACAAAATAAAATTTAAATCAAAATCAAAATTTAAAACAATAGAGTAAAACAAAGATTATGGAAGTGTCGGGAATTATGATTTCACTAATATTAATCGGATTTAATCTATTTAAATATTATTATGATTTTGAGATCATACTATGTTGATGGTCGAATATCTAATGTTTTACATACTCTTTCTCAAGTTGTACATAAAATACACATTTTCATAAAAATATACTATATCTCTATGTGAATTAAAGTACAAAAATACTCATTGAGTTCAAAGGATTTAAAAATGACCACATAAAAACAGATAGTTATATCTCTATACTATCCCAGATTTACAGTTTTATTTCAGAGCTATGTCACAGAAATCTCCTCTCGGATTCATTTTTTATCCTCAATTCATTCAAAAAGTTGGCCAAAAATTTTAAATTTAAATAATGTAATAATTTGAATTTGAATTTGAATTTTAAAACACACGTGTGAAGGTGTTCACATAGCGTGAACACCCAGCGCAGTGTGAGTCCCTCTGGAATTCAGTTGCTTACTCCCAATATATCTATTTGACTTATTTGATAAGTTGTCCAATTTGAAATTCAAATTAATTTAAATTGGAACTTGAATTTGTGTCAAAATTGACATGTATCAGAGTGAGAGTTTTTCTTTTAAAATCAAATTTGAAGTTTGAGATAATTATTAAGCTTTATCTTGGAAATAAAGATTATAACTTTTTCTAAGAGTCTAACTACTTTATGAATAGGAGATTACAGAAAATTGGAGAACACAATTTTTATTTTCCCCAAGCTATAGTGACCGAATTTTATAGAATATGGAAAGGAAAATTTTATCTCAAATTCAACGTCATGCATGCGTTGATGTTCGCAGAAAACTTGAGTGTTTATTTACTAATCCCGTTTTATTTCAGGTGTGCCTATGCACACGTCTTTTTAGATTCAAGGAATTGACGAGGAAGATTTTAGTGTTCTAAACTAGCTTGGAGCTTAGAACGTTCGAGGTCAATGAATTTAAATTATCATCCTAATCGTCCATTAGGTAAATAAATTAATTTAATTAATTTATTCGTGCATAAATTAATTTAATCTATAAAATATCTTAAATTTTTATAAAAATTTTTATTATACACGATTCGCTATTTACACGCTTCCGTATCCGAAATCATTTCAGAAACCAACAGAATCCATGTGATTGGAAGAGGTTGAGGAGGTGAGCTCATGTGATCTTGGCTACACTAGATCAAAAGCTAATCAAAAAGTGAGGAACATGTGGGGCCCGTGATTATGTCACCGCTGACGTATTGTGTGCTCACTCTCCCTTTTCTGAGAGTGTAGTGTACTCTCCAATCTGGACCATCCATATCCCATAATCTGAAGGCTGAGATTTAATTTGAAATTAAAAATAAATTTATAATTATATATGTAAAGAAAACCGTTTTAATCAATTTTAAATTATGAAATGTGGTCCAAATATACCAGTTTTACTACTAAATCTCAAATATTACTTAGATAAAAATGAAAAATCAAAATCAAAAGCACTAAAACACAATAAATTAATTAAAATTCAAATAAAACTAAAACAAAACAAAATAAATTAAAACTAACGAAAACACACAAAAATAAATTAAAATCTCGAGAACTAAGTTAGTTTTCATACAAAATTAAAGGTAAAATAATTCTATTTTATAGAGTTATCAGGAGGTTTTTTCCAGCACTGTTTCAACCGTTCCTCCCAGATTTTCAGCATTAAATGACTCATTCTTGTTAATTTGATCTCTTCGGTTCTCTATAGTTTTTGTGTTTGTAATAAGAGCGGTGGTTTCCCACCCTCTTTTATTTTGTTGTTCGATGCTAGTTTTCGGTCATAGGCTTAAGCCCGTTTATATGTTTCCCAATTGTGTGGACTTCTTGGTCCGGTTAGAATTTTTTTTATGCCGTGTTGATGATATCCTCTTTTTATGGGGGTTAGCGATTCGTCCCTCCATAGCTCAAAAGTCTATTTCGATGGGAGGAGTTCCGTCAATTAGAGCCTTAAGTGTGCTCATTATTAGTGTGTTGAGATTTTCTCCCGTTTTCGGGCCTCACAACGTGTGTCTGTTTCTCTAATGGGTTATTAACAAAGGTTTATGTTTCTTAGTTTTTGTTTAAATGAAATTTCTCTTAAAAAAATAAATAAATCTCAAAACCAAATTAGACTAACGTAATATTAATGACAATAGTCGACTTTTTTATTTCCTTTTATTTATTTATCTATTTTTTGAGACAATGCAGTTAGTGATATTAGGCAGGCCACAGTAATGAAATTAATGCCCAATTTGTTGAAGAATCTGCACAAGTACGCGTACAAAAATAACATTATTAGGACTACCAATCCCAAAAGTGACAGTTAAATCCTAAAGTTAATTGATGATGAAGAGTTATATAATGATTACAATAACAACTATATTAAATATAATTATTTTAATATTAATAATAATTATAGCCACTTTTGTCAAAATAATAATAATAATAGCCACGTTATGACATTTTAGGAACATCTTTAGGGAATCCAAATTTACCTAACATCTAAAAATCCTTTGCTTGCTTGATTTCTAAAGTGATCTTTTTTTCTCCATCTAAAAATCTTTTGATTGCATGATTTGTAAAGTGATTTTTTTAAGAGAAGGAAATTTCTCTTGTATTCTTTTTTTTTTTTTTTGGAATATTGGTGTTCCTTACTTATTTACCGTACCAATTTGTATTACTTTTTCTTTTTGAGTTGACTTTTGACTAGATTTAGTACAGATTTGAAGACTGATAAGTAGAAAATATCGATGTACTAAAAAATGAGAAAACACTAGAGAAAGTCCCTTAAGAGAAAATTATTAAATTAACTCGTAAAGTGCATGGGTCTGAATTTCAACCCTTACAATTAATTATTACTTTTTTTTTAATAATAGATTAATACCTTTTAGACTAATATAGTTATTTAACTAAAAAAATATTAATCAAGAGTAAATGATAAAAATTTAAACTCATACACTGACGATTATTTGTCTCTTTTCCTTTTTTTGTTTTTTTTTTGTTCGACAAGCATAGGAAGCAATTCAATAAGGGCATGTTTAGTGCACCGCATTGTATGGTATTATATTATATCGTATAATATTTTATTACATTGTATAATTTTTATACAATACAGTGTTTAATTGGTAGTATTATTGAACATTACACTATTTTTACCAGTGTAATTGATTTATGTATTATTTTGTAATAAGATAAAATTTAGGCGTAATCATAACCTAATTCAACTCTGATCTCATCACGAACCCAACATTTAGAGGAAACAAGGGAGAAAGTAGAGTTGCTAAGTGGTCTTTTTACAAAAAATAAAAATAAAAATGGGGCCAACTTGTAATTTTTAAAAAATTAAGGGTAACATATAATTTTAAAAAAGTTAAAGGGGTCAAAATATAAATTTTAAAAAGTTAGAGGTTAAAATGTAATTTTTAAAAAATATAAATTCAACATCACACCAATCCCAAAACTCAACCCCAATCCCAAAACCCAACCTTAATATTTGTGAAATATTTTATATGTTTTTAATATAATATTTTAAGTTAAATTACATAATACGGTTTAGTACATAAGTTTTGTTCTATATTAAAAATCACACTTCGTATTTTATTAATTTCAAATCTCTTATTAAATTATAAATGTCACCAAACATTATAGTGTTATTAAACAATACAATACGAAGTGCTTATGCGTGTACCAAATATGCCCTAAGAATTTATATATATGTATAAATTCCATATCATATTTTGTAAAAGTAACATTGTAAAGTTCATAATCTTCATAAGAAATACATGTTCTAATTGAAGGTGAATATGGCGCTAAAGAATCCAATCTGCATTATTCTAAAATAACATTCTGTAATTGTATAGGCAAAATCCATCAATGGTAAAACTAGAAGAGTGGCAGCGATAAATGCTGCCCAGAAATAATGTTGCTCATATTACAAAAGTAAAAACTGAGAATCTACTCAACACATGAAAAATCAATGCAGAAGAAGTCCCTTTATCGCCGGCGACACTAAAACGAAATAAAGACAAAAAAAGAACACCATTTGGTCCTCCTCTTCCAATCTACTCCCCAACAGTCAATCCAAACCCAAACTTGTAGTCTTTCTTTTTGTGATCTAGCTGCAAGGCATAATAAATTTAAGAGAGCTTTTTGTTAATGGAATTATTAAGCGCCCGTTTAATTCGCTGATTCGAGTTGAGATGTGACTATGAGAGCTTTTTACTGTAGCAAAAAAGTTAGATGCGACTGTTTCTGAAAGCTTTTTACTGTAACAAAACTCAAATCGGTGAAATAAACGGAGCCTAAAGCACCACACTAATCTGCTCTCCCTATGTGTTCACAGTTGGTTGTGTGTGCAGTGGAGTGGAACATGGCAACTCAACCGGCTAGGATTCGAAAGTGGAAGGACCTTAAAAAATAAGGTTTGCTATTTTGCAGGTGTAAGGAAAATAAAATTATTGATTAAACTCACCTCTGCAGAAAGTATGAAATTAAGACCCATATTTAGTCGTTCTTCCAGAAAGGCAGCCACGACCCCGTTGGAATCTATCTTTCCTCTAAGACGGCACTGTCAGTGATAAGAAGAGTCAAGCAGAACACAGGCAAGTCAAGCAGCTATTTTTAAGTGGAAAACAACCCGCATCCAAGCACAAATCCAGCCCAAAATCAATTGCATAAATCTCTAAGAAATTACAATTAGTACTACGATTTTGTTAAAAAGGCACTCTGATTCCATAGTACTATCAACAAGAAGCAATATCAATTAAACCCTCCAAGGCAAAATATAGCAGCTTTGAAATACAACAAAGACAAAATGAAATAATCGAGACTGTAGATCCTGCATTTCTTATCAAGAAAGAAAAGAGGAGTTATCCCAAGAACTCAAATCATCAGCAGCTAGACTATATCACAAGAAACCAGTTCCCACCCAATTGAAGACACAAATACTTTTAGGCTTTCAGTACAAATTAATTTGAGTTAGCTAATAAACGGGCAATGCCAAAGAACTCCTTATGTTAAGATTTTTAACATAAATAACAAGTATTACATAAATAATGAGAGTTGTTTGAATAATTTAGTAAAGAATTACTCTGTTTGCTCCTCCTCATGTAGTCACATGAAAGTGCAATTACACAGCTGGAGTTATCCTTTTTTTTTGTTTTTTACCATACCTAACTTTCTACTTAATTTCATTGACCTAGTGACCTTTGGAGATTCATAAATGGCGGCCAACAGCAATAATGGAAGTAAAAAATTTAATCAAGGGGCAAATTTTGCAAGAGTAACTAAAGTTCAGGGGAAAAAAAAGCTAAAATTAAACTTAGGACCAAGTTTTGGACATGCATCGTCCCCATAACATAAACATACAATAAAAGGCAAAACAGCTAAAAGCATGAATGTTAGCAATATATGATTAGAAAAAAAGCACCTGTCTAAGGATATAATCGTAACCAAAACTAGCTGTGACTTCCCTTGACATGTAGTTGTACATGAAGTCTGATGCTAGAGAAACCTATGCAGGGGAGAAAAACAAAGTATGAGACAAAGCTTGATAACAAATCGTCACATTTTCATCTGCAAATAGATTTACTCACCTTCTCGGATACTTTTTGAACATAGCCAAGAGCAACCATTCCTGTGCTAGCAACTTGCCCCGTGGCAACCTGCAAAACAGAAAGCAAAAACCAAATTTTGTCATGACTCGATACTCAAGCAATAATGAATGATCAAATGCATTTGAAAACAGACTAAAAAATAATATATCTTCAGGAAAACTCAAGTATGAAGTATGAAGTATGAAGCACCAGATGCCTAGTGTACGGTTAAGAAAAAATATCAACAACATATAAAAAATGACACGGCAGAATCACTTCATTACTACCGAGCAAATTTTTCTTCAGTGGAGAAATGAATACTAAAATAACAAATATCACTGAGATAACCAGGACAACCATATAAAGCTTCAAGAGATATACCATCTTGTCGGTGTTGTATCTAGCAGCATACCCAATACCAGACTTCCTGTGCTGACCAGCCCAAAATACTTCACCACCCAAAGAAAGATGAGGAGTCACACTCTGAAAAACAATACATATTCTTTTGTTTAGGAAAGAAAAAGAGGAAAAGAGAGACGAGAAGGGCCACTAATTCATGGTCATCAAGAAACCTACAAAATCACGCTTATCAGCAAAACACAAACGAAGCAGCCCAAAACAAATACACTCAACAGTTACAACCCCAACTCCACACTCCCCAAAAAAGAAGAGAAGAAAAGGAAAAGTGCATTACCAAAGGAATTGAACAAAATCATAATTGTAGAAACAATAAGACGCAAAAAAATTAATGGATCATATCAATTATCAAGACCTGCATCTGTCACAATTTACGTTGACACTTGGAATAAATTACCATTATTCATTCTCTCTATTATTCTATAGGTAATTCATTCACAACAATTTCTGTCAAGTTAGGAAGCATCCCCTGTATTCTTCCGTCATCTACGATAGGCACTAAGATTATAAACTTGTGATCAAACGGCCCGAACTTGCAGGGTTGTTGATTACAAATATATAATCTGAAATGATAGGTTAGAAGAAGAAACTAAAAAGAAAAAAAAAGTGTTGCAAGAATTTTTAGGTAGCAGCTGATTTCAAGGACTCTGAAGTCGTCAATCAGATCTGATGGTTGTCAAAAAAATTGGGACCTGGAGTTTAATTGCCTATCAAAGGTGTAAAGAACCTAATCCGCAAGAAGTTTAACTTGGAAGAGGCAATGTATAAAGATTAAAAAGAGAGAGATTCTGCCCTTGCCTCCAAACTCAACAGCCTATTAAATTTGAGTGCAAATACTTTAAACAAAAAACTACCAAGTTAAAATTGAATGCTTGAGCATCCTCCTTCATTTTCCCTTTTTCTTGTTATTTTTATTCATTAAAGAAATTTCCCTTATAAAAAAGAAAATTGTTAGACTTGGCACTCATGCAAGGTGATGTCAGTCAAAAATTTCTTTGCAAAAGGGAAAAAGAAAAAAAAGAATAAATTGTGCAACAGCATGACGAACCCGTAAGTACCAAAATTCTTTGCATTAACAGAATTTAGACACACGCAATTATGGCCAGTTTCATCAAACCTCACAAGAGAGTTGGTGAAAATATTGTTTAGACCATCCACGTTATCAATATATCATAAGTTAAGCAGAGCGCTAACCTGAATGTAGCTAGCCCCAAATAATGCACCATTCCCCAATTGAAACTGTGTCCTGTAGTCTCTACCCTGTACAAAAAAATTAGAAATAGAATTAGGAACAGTACCAGAACTAAGTAAACAATAGCAAACAAAAGATCTTAAAGAAAAATAATTTTGGGACGAGGAAAAATCCCACTGAAAATGGATTGAAATAGAAATCATCACCATTAACATGACATTAAAGGAACCCAAATATTACAGAGAAAGCTAGATTCCGATAGTTCTCTTAATCAAATGCCAGTCACATTCACGCTTGAGGAATGCGAAGAATCAAGGGTAATTTGTTTGTGAGAAAAAAAAATGATACCCACAAAAACCTAATAGTTGAGCTCAATTTTATTGTTTAGTTTCATAATTCAGCTTATAAATTAAGCTCACTCATTTTAGAAGGTTGTAGTGTTAAATACAACCTTGGACATCCAACTGCAGCAAACATCCTCATGAACTGTTTAATTGTTTCAATCAACCCATTCTCTTTGTAAAAACATTTTTTTCATATAAATGATTCTGAGTTCACGGCCCTAATTTTTTTTGAAAAGATTCAATTGCGACCAACTACAATTGCTTATTTGATGCTATGTGTATTATAAGCAATAAGATCCTACTTGAGATTAATTAAAAGGGAACAGCTAGAGGAGAAAATTGAGATATGATACTGAGAAGAATGTTGCTTAGCTTTTTTACTCAACTCTTAAGGTGGGGAAAAAGTTAATTTAGGAATGGGAAATACCATTCATGTCATACAATGGTTTGTGTAAAAATCTATCAAAAGTAACTGATTCTAACATAATAGAAGGGCTAGTTGAAAATAAATAAATAAATAAAATTAACTAAAATCTCATGAGTTCCTGACTGCATATTTCTTAGAGAACTGAAACACAACCTTACAGACCATTTGAAATAGTTCAACCCTCTGGCTTCATCTTTCATAAAATAAGAATGCGAAATACAAATATGCTTTTAAAGTAACATCTCTGACCTTGTAATCAAAGTTGACCATGCCATGCGACATATGAGGCTCATTTGTGAGCTGGAAAAGCATACAAGAAAAGTTAATCAACTAGCTTATACGCGACAAACTTCCACCATCAGAAATTCATTAAAATCTAGTACCTGTGCATTGGCCTTCATAATAAGATTTTCAGTCAAATCGCACTTCACTCTTGCATTTAACCTCCCATCGGTTAATACTCTTCCAAAAAGCATCAACTGCATGATAAGTGAAAACCATTCTCACCAGGAAATTCAAATAAATTCTTTTTCGAAAACAAGAAGGCCCAAAAAGAGAGAATTAAATATGAGAGACAGTTACCTTTGGGTCTATATAATTAGCCCCAAACTCATAGTGAGCAGTTGGGATTTTGATAGTTTCAGAAGACTGGGAAGGAACCTCTGTTGGCCCCATGAACACACTAATTTCGGGTTTCACAGAATATAACCATCATCAGTATTGGTGCTTCAAATTTCAGAATTAAACCAAATCCAACAAAATTCGCGCGGAGAAAATACGAAATGATGACCTGTGACTGAGTGAGAATTTCTGATTCAATCCTTTGGTAAAATCAAAGCGCATCCCCTCGAAAAGTTCTGGCTTTAAGGACACTGTTCAATTCCACACACAGACACAATTAATTTCACAGACTCACCATGCTCTTCGGTCTTCACTACCAACAAAAAAACTAAACTAAACTAAAAAAACAAAACGAAACAAGTACAATTTACATCGTTAGCAATTCTACTCCTTTTGATTCTAAGAGCTTGTTCTGTAGGAGGGAAAATTGGAAGGACGGATAGGAGTGACAGGATTAGTGGAATGATTTGGGGACTATGTTCGTTTCAGAAAAAAGAGGAGGGAAATGATTGGTTGAATGATTTTGAATTCTTCAAAAGAACCCCAATCTTGATCTCTTTCAATATAGAGCGATCAGAAGAAGGAATCCCTTCCTCGCCATTTTCCTCATTTCTTTCCTTCGTTTTTTCATTCCTCCTTCCCAAACACAGCCTAAATTAACCATCCCTGTGACACTCTTCATATCCACGCAAACACAGAATTAGGGCAACAAACTGATCATCCTCTTTCCATTTTGCTACTACCAGAGAAGAAAAGTCCTACTTTTCCTTATTGAAATTACCCCCAATGAAAACAAAATCTTTCAATCTACGAAAAATGCGTCTATTCAACACACACACACACACATATACAGATTTCATAATAACGAGAGCTAAAAATCACCATTTCTTCGCCAAAAAAAAAAAAAAAGATACAAATGTAAATATGAAAATAACGAGAACTAACTGAGAGCTTCGCGATGGATCTCTTCGTAGGGAATGGGGCAAGGAAGATTGAAGTAATCAACTTTCTCATCCTCTTTGCTCTTCTGCTCGGGGGCTGGAGGAACAAGGGTCGCCATTTTTGCTGCTCTTTCGTCTCCTCTTGGCTTCTGCTGAGAACAGAAGAAAGAAGCGGAGGATGGGAAACAACGACAAAGAGCTCTGTGATTTAGCTAGAGAGAGAAAGAAGAGAGAGAGGGAGAGAGAGAGAGAGAGAATATCAGAATAATCTCTCTCTAAACCCCAAAACGATCAGAACGAGAGAGTTAAAACGTCTAAAACCCTAGAAGCCGTTTTGGGAAGGTGGTAGGGGTCAGTCAAGTTGGGTCAGATCTTCCATAACCCGGTCAAGGCCCAGGCCCAGACCATATGAAGTGCCTATGAAATGCTTATAATGTTTACGGTTTTATATCTTGTATTTTAAGTTTATTAAATGAATTTTTGTGATTGAAAAGTGCCTATGAAATGCTTATATTATTCTAGTACTTTTAGTTTCATTTAATATTATCACTTGTTCACCTTTTAGTTTCAATTTGTTTTCTTTACTCTTTACTATTCAACTCAATTTTATTTTGATTGATTAAAATAATTCTAGGATTAGTTAATTTTGCTAATTAATAAGTTAAACAATCTTCATGGGAATGATGCTTTTTTTGTCAATTTGTTCGATTCGTGCATTTGCAAAATTACATAAACTTTTATAGCGTCCAGGGAAAAAATCGTGACCCCATGCCAGAAATATGATAACGTGCGAATTTTACATTTCAATTTGCAAATTTTAAATATTGGAGTTACATAAATTACGTCGACTTATGAATTTTTTTTTTTTTTAAAAAATGATAACTAGTGAATTTTATACATTAAAACTTACAAAGTTCAAATGTTGAAGTTATAAAAGTTATAATAAACTTTTGAAATATTGACTGGTTGGAGCTGGTGATGCATGTTGGAGGAGTAATCGGCCTTGAAGGACGTGCTAAGCATACCATAATACTTAGGGTCAGTAATATAGGTCACGACACGACAACACGACTCGAAAATGACACAAATTTCGCGGATTAGGGTTGAGAAAAAGAGGTTCGGGTCAGAATTAGATCGACCTGAAATTGACACGAAAAACACGGGTCAATTCGGGTTGGACCCGCCTAACCCGAACACGACACGAAACTCGTAAAAAACTAAAAAATACATATATTTTTCATTACATATTTTGATTTTATTGTGAACTTATGATATCATGATAATTATACTCAAAATCTTATAGTATTATTTACTTAATTTCGATGGATGTTATTGTATTTTAGTGTGTTATGAATTTTAAGTTATTTTTAATATGTAAAAAACTATATAAAAGTATACAATTTTTGTGTCAATTTAGGGTTCATGGGTCAATTTCGTGTCACGGGTCATTTTCGTGTCGTGTCGTGTCAACCCGTAAAGTGGTCGTGTCGTGTTCGTGTTGCGGTTTTTAAAAAATTTCGTGTCACGGGTTGATTATAAATTTAGAAAGAAACGATCAAAACACAACACGTGACACGAATGATCAGGTACACAAAAAGCTAAATAAGTTGGCAACACTGCCTAATAAATCCATCTTACAGTTTTGAATCTCACATGGCTTAGGTTATTTTTACTTTTCACGGTTTATGTTTGCCCTTGAATGGTCATACTTATTTGTGCTTTTAGTTGCTCTGGGATTCAGATAAATTATACTTGCATTTCTATCCATACATGTGCCCGCGTATTTTCAAGTTCTTCTAGTTTGTTTCTCTTATCAAGATCTCATTTATTTCATTGATTCGAGTTTTCAATTTTATGTTTCTACAGTTAAAAGTTCTTAGAAAACGTCATATCTATTTTTTATTTTTTATTTTTTATTTTTGTTATAGTGAAAAATTTTAAAAAAATGTTACATCCTAACTCAAATTCGCAAAGCGAAGGAGGCCAAGCCTATTTGTTGGGTCATTCTGTTAGTTGAACTTCTAGAACTTGAAGAACTTTGCTCAATGAAATTGTGCTTCCTACAAATAAGGTTTGTTCAAGATCTGCTGTCTTTGCTTCATACCGTACAATATTTATTATGCAACATATGTTGCAAAACACATGGCCAAAAGTTTGCTGGAAATTTTTTTAAAGAAGCAGAGGAAACGTATTGCCAAAGTAAGTGCGGCACCAACCAAGTATAAGAACCAAAAAAAAAAAAGCATATTCGGATTAATAAAAAAGAGATCGAAGAACTAGTTAACCAAGCATCAAGTAACAATTTTAAAAATATGAAATTGAAATAAAACGTGTTAAGGCCAAGAAACAATTGAAAATTTTCGGAATTGCCAAATAGAGATTATAGTACTAAGCAACAACAAAGTGAGAACTCTAGGACAAAACATGGACTCAACAAAAAGAAAATCTGAAATCTCAATTTATTAAGCAAATCTAAAATTGTCACTAAATTAGAAAAAAAAAAAAAAAAAAAAGAAGAAGAAAAAAAGCTAGTCATTAACAAATAAAAAGTAATAACAGTTTGAACTTAACTAAATCATAATTAATCCTTAGCAGAATAAACATAAAATTTTGAAATTCAAAGATAATTCTTTTTAGTTTTGTTTTTAAAGAGTTTAACATGCCAAAATAATTTTAAATTTTTTTAATCAGTAAAAAAAAAATTATAATTAAGTATTGTTGGATTCAAATTTTGTCTTAACCCCAAAACTCTCTTGATTCTTAAGAATTATTCTCTCTAAATTCTTAAGAATTGATCTTTTTCTCTCACTAGAACCTTTTCTCTCTAAATTCTAGTAAAATTACAGAAATGTGAAAAAAGCCCTCCTCTATTGGGGTACTGGTATTTATATAGACTTCTATTTCTCTGATTTAAGGTTATGTTTACCTACACGTAATCGGAATGAGCATGAATCGGAGTGGGCATGATTCGGAGTGGGTAAGATTCGGAGTGGGGAATCGGAGTCAGAATAAGCTGTTTACTTAGTGATAGATTCGGAATCAGAGTTATTCCAAATCTCATTTATACGTTTACTTACATCCAGAATCGGAATAAAAAAGTGTAAAAGTACTAATATACCCTTTAAATCAATTTGATATTTTCAATTTAAAAAATATAGTGTACTTATTATATTAAAATTAATCATAATTAAAATATTTTGTGTAATAATTGGGTACTAAAATAATAAATATAAATTGTACAACTATTTAAAATATAAAAATAAATTTTTAATAAAATAAATAAAAATAAAAAATAGTGTTAAAAAATAAAAATATATTATTAATTTATTAAAAATAAAGTACATATTTATTATATTAAAGTTAACAATAATTATGCTAATATTATAATATTAGGCAAATAAAATAATAAATATATGTTGCATTTATTATTTTTTGAATTTTATTTTTAATTGTGTATTTATAAGTAAAATAAGGGTATAATAGTAAATTAATATTAATATTAAGAATGTGAGTCTCAATCCCAAGGGGGGCATGGGAGTGCCAATTCCATTCCTCAATCCCAAATTTGAGTGGGGCCCACCAATCTCACTCCCATTCCGGATAAAAAAGAGTAAGGCCCCGTTCATTTCGCTGATTCGATTTAGAATTCGAGTTTTGCTACAGTAAAAAGCTCTCACAAACAATCACATCTAACTTTTTTGCTACAGTAAAAAGCTCTCACATAAAATCACATCTCAATTCGAATTAAAAACTCGAATCAGCGAACTAAACGGGTAGTAAACATGGGATTGACTCTCATTCCCCACTCCCATTCTTCAATCCTAGTAAGTAAACATGCAAGCTTCTGTTCTAAAATTCATTTCCATGTCAGCTTAATCTTCCACATGGCTTCAGAGTTCTTTCTTCTTTTAGTTGGAACATCGTCATTTGTTCTTTACTTATGCAACGTCATTTTGAATTGGTTCAATTCTTATCCCCACATTAGCCCTATTTTTTCTTATAAATTTGGAATTTTTCTAAATTTAAAAGGAAAACAACAAATTTCTCTTCCGATTCTCTATTTTCTTCAATACTTTCAGCTTCAATTTTTTTAATTGCATCATGTCTAGGTCTGATTCTTCTTTTGAAAGTCTCCGTCTCGAGTGTCAGATTCCTGTGAATGTCGCCCTTTCGACTTTTCCTGATTCTGTCAACTTAATTACTGGTGAATCCATTGATCCCGAAGACGGTATTTTCTCTATTGAGCACCTTCGAGTTCTCAGATTCCCTCTTCCATCTTTGATTCTTGATTTCTTTCCAACTCTTCAAATTTGCCCTTTTCAACTTTCGTCTATTAGTTTTCGTATTCTTTCTTACGCCTATTGGCGAATTCCATTGAAGGTTTTGATTTCTCCCTGGATGATATTTTCGCGGTTTATGACTTAGTTGATGGTCAATCCATCTATTACTACTTTCGTCCGCATAGCGATTGGCATTTCTTTTCTTACTTTGATTTTTTTGAACCTTCTAGTTGGGATAAATATGTTATTTGTGTTCAAGGCTTTTGGTGTTCCGATTCATCGATTATTCTTCCGAATCGTTTTGGCCGTGTTGATGCTAAAATCCCCAACCAACTCAAAATAGATGTTCATACTGACCGTTATCATTATCTTTCCAAGAATGCACGTAAAAAAAAACTCCTTGATACTTAGAAGTTGCTTTCTTTAGATGTTCTCCCCAGAATGACTGATGAACATTTTCGCGCTCTCTTTCTTTCCAAGAATGCACAAGCCCGTTCGGTTCGTTAATTCGAGTTGAGATGTGATGTTGTGTGAGAGCTTTTTACTGTAGCAAAAAAGTTAGATGTGACTGTTTCTGATAGCTTTTTACTGTAGCAAAACTCGAATCAGCGAAATGAACGGGGCCTTAGTTCTCCAAATCTTCTTGCTGACTATGAATGCTCCAAAGTTCTCAAAACCTCTGTGCCCATCCATGGAATCCCATTTTCTAGCAAACCTCCTAGTGATGCTAACGTGTCCTCCGACCATTTGAATACTTCACAGCCCTCTAATTCCAACACTTCCAATCCAATACGAGCATGAGAAATCATCCACAACATTCCCCTTCTCGCCATCATCCTTATTCTCGACCTTCTAGGTCCCATAAGTCTCGTCATTTTATGGATCATATGTTGAGAAATGTGTCTTTAAAGTATGAGATGCAATAAGAATATTTTATTATTTAATTAATAAAATATATTCATTATTTATGTGCATGTATTATTGGATATTTTATGAATATTATTAAAAATTTCGTGATTATTTATATAACCTTAAATATTGT